CATCAAGCTCAAGTTATGAGTACTAGAGTGCTGACTGCCAGGGGTAGGTACAAGAAGGTAATCTTGCACGTAGATCTCTTGTGGTTGTTGTTTTTTGTAACATTATTACAGCGCAATCAAAGCTCAAAGTTGTACACGTCAACTTCTACGCGACAATTCCTTTAGTGCAAATCCTTTTCAAAAGTCTTTATTTTGATACTGAGTTAGAGTTTAAAAAGCCTTTCAAGGTGAGATAAAAATGATTTTACAAGCTATATTGAGACGGAAAACCAGTTCTTCAACAAAAATGTTTTTTGAATAGTGCGTGCAGATAGCAACAATCACGTCGTTCCCTCATAATCTAGCCAATTAAAAAAATAAATTTTCTTACTTGACCAGATCTCGCCCCCGGTGGCTTCGTCGACAAGAAGTCTGGGTACGGGATTAATAAGAAGGCGCACCCAGGCCTCCTAACAGTCTACACAACCAAACGGAAATAAGGAGAGATAGATTTATCTTGCAAATAACAAAAGGCTTTTGCATTAGTTGATCAAGCGTGATTGAGTGGCAAAAGTTGTTGTTCTCTTACATTTTATTCTAATTTTCGGCGGTTGTTGCAATCGCTACTTTTGAGATATATGGCTGAAAATTTACAGGTTACCTGATTTTAATTTGCTCTTTCAGCTCGTGCTAACAAAATTTGTCAAAAGAAGACTGTTTTCGTGGACACGCGTGAAAAACGCAGTGCGCATGCGTGCCTTCCCTGCTTCCGGCGCGAATTTGCATGTGCCTCCCCCAATCGAAATTATACTCGATACCAAAACAAACTAGATTCCGGCCGCGAAATTCAAAAAAGTAAGCTCCACACACAAAAGATAAGCTTAGAATTTCACGAACACAAAGTTTATTAATTGCTTTAGTTTCTCTCTTTTGCACCACATACTTTCCTCCTTGCACCAAAGGCGAAAATCATGTTTGAAAGTCCACGCTCGCTCTGGCAGCACTTCGCCGTAGCCATTGTTGCTGTTTTGGTCATCATGTCGCTGAGCTCGGTCAATGCGAACAACGAAAACGACCAATGCATGCTAAGTGGAAAAACAAGGACGGAAAAACCTTGTACTGGACGACTTTACCAGTTAGTTAAGTTAGTTTAAGTAATTTTTTGTTGTGCTTAATACTAGAACCGGCTGCAAACCATTAAACATATCAAACATTCCTAAGTGTTTTTCAATTTAAATGGGGAAGATTTTGCAAATTTTAATTATTGAAAATAGAGACCTTGCGCATGCGCAGACGTTTTGCACGCGTGTCGTTTTCGTGTTTACTGAAATTTGATCACGTGATCAACTAATGCAAAAGACCTATTTTTTGCAAGAAACGACGCAGGTAGTTGGCCTGTATTTTGGAGCCCCAGTCAACGTCACGCTTTTTATCACATGCTAAGATGAATAATTTGCACACCTGGTAAATTGTTAGCTTAATATGTGTGAATTCAGTGTCGAAATCAATAGTTCAGATTGACAACAGACCACTTTTTGAGGAACTTGGAGACCAAGAGGAACCGTTTTTATTTTAAAGTTCGTTGTAATAGCAACGCTTTGACCTGTTAAACAACGCTTGAGAGAAAAACAACAGAGTAATATTTCGAAAAACTTTTCACGGTGGGAGAACTTGAAAGTTCAGTAACCAATAAGTCTGCAACCTTGGTGCAGATCTGCATGCTAGTAATGTATAGGAAGAATGTTTTGAAGGTGTTAGTTTTTCATTTGAAATATATAAACCAGCAGTCAAAGGTAGAACAGCTGTGGAAATATTACTCAAAAAAACATTATTTTTACAACTGACCCTTCGATTGTTTTCATAAGTAAACAATGGAGAGACACATTTCTTTTGAATTTGAAATAGCCCCCCTAAAGATAATTTTTGTCGTCAATATTTTCACGTTTTCAACCTATCATATCCCGCGGATGCATGTCTACTTAAACACAGCACAAGGCTTGAGTTCACATGTACAGCTTTGACTTAACGGAGAGGATAGACCTTCTAGCATCTTAAGTAAGTGGTCGTTCTTTTCTTTGCATTTTAAAACTTTTGAATATATTTTAGTGGAGAAAAAAAGAAGTTCAAGCAAAAAACCTGTTAATTAAAGATAGATAAATATCAAAAGAGTACAGACTTCTTTTACAGCCCTTTTTTCAGGCCCCACTTTCACATGATCCATATTATTTCAAATGAATGAGATGATTCTCTCGCGAGGCAATAACCTGCGATCAGGCGTTCTTTTTCGGGATAGCGCGAAAGTCGGCGACACCAGGCGTTCTTTTTTCCCCTCGTCTCTTAAACATAAAGGGAAGAAGGATCACCTGATCGCAAGTTAACGAAGCAAGAAATAGAAAGACTCTGATGAGAGCTAGGGGTAAAGTTGATGTTATGAAAATTTGATAACTATTATTTTCTATTTTCAGCCTTTGTATATATTTCTACAGGCCAAGCAATATGCATTTCGAGACATTAATTCTTTACCTCGCTTGCCACACTGTTTTTGTAGTATCTGGTAAGTTTTACAATTATAGTTTTACCAAAAATACATCGTTTTAATTTTTTTCTTTTGAAAAGGTCATATAAGACTCGGAGACAAGAACACTGTTGGATAAGTAGTGACAAGAGCCAGCAAGAAATGCTGAACTAGCCAAGTTACTTCCGACTCTGTTCAAAATGGCATGAAAGAGATTTGGCGAGATGAAGACATGACTCAGGCCGTCTTATCATCAGTGTCTTTTTCATCTTTCATTCGTTAAATTGGATGTTTTACACAAATTCAACGCGTATCATCTACATCATTATAGTATTAACTAACACATAAACAGGTGGAAAACCTTTTATAAGATAGATTTGTATAAGGCCGACCGAAGTAATGCACGGGCAACAACTTCTTACTTCTCGATACTCTTTATAGGTCCCTTAGAAAGATGTGGAGAAAACTTCGTTAAAGTGGGATGTTTTAATGACAATACAAGACCTCTTCCGGAGCTGTTGTTGAACAAGAGAAATCAATTGGTCCAAGGCTGGAAGAAGTGGAAGGAATTTTTAGAAGGGTATAGTACGAGTACAAGCTGCGGTGGCGACAACGTAGAAGTAGTGATAATTGTTTAAAAGGCTGGACAAGACGAAAAATATCTTGAATGGGATAATTTCTAAGGAAAATGTGGTGCCGCATTCACGAATTATCGGCACCATCTTTAATGGTTCGAAAAACTAATATCTGTAGAGAAGCAGATCTTTCTCAGGTTTCTTATCATTTCGGTTACAAAGGCCATTTTTGAAATAAAATTTTGAGCTGTGGAATTTTCCTCAAATGGGCAAAAACGATTCACTATAATCTTAACCTTAAATTTTTCAGTACGTAACGTCCAAATGTCTTATTTTTACATAAGCTGGGATTCCTCTGTTCTTTTCGGGGGGGGGGGGGGGTTTTTATATATATATTAATTTTTTTAAAAAACAGACTTGAATGTGAAATTTTACCTTTGTGGTGTGAAAATTTATCTTTCAATTTAACCCCTTTATTTCTTGTTTAGAAATTAAAACAAAATTTCCTTACCTTAAACTATTTCCTTTATTTTCCTTCACCTCTCCTTTTCTAGTTTTTTTCTCAGGTTTTTTTTCATTTTGGTTACAAACCCCATTTTTTAAAAAAAATTTTTAGCTGTGGAATTTTCCCCAAATGGGCAAAAACGATTCAATATAAATTTAACCCTAAATTTTTCATGACGTAACTTCCAAATGTTTTGTTTTTTAAAAAGCTGGGATTCCTCTGTTTTTTTGGGGGGGGGGGGGTGGTATTGTATATATATATATTAACGTGATTAAAAATCATCATTGAATGTGAACATTTAGCCTTGTGTGTTGCAAATGTATCCTTCAACTTAAGCTCCTGTATTACTGTTTTCAAGATACAATCAAATTTCCTTCGCTTATACAGTAGTCGTCTGCTGAGGAAAGTGATTGGGTGGAGACATGAGAGGGAATATGTTATCTAATCAAAAAAGGTTAGGCTTGCCATTTGCCATTGTGGTAACGGAAACTTAAGAGACAGGACAAGCAAAACCAGTTAAGAGATATCAAACTGGTGCACCGCCAGAGAAAAAAAAGAGAGTGAAAATCGCTCCTTCTTATCTCATAATTGTCACTTTTATTTTAAAGCTTGGCCTGCAGTTGTGCGAACAAGACAAGAAGGAAAGGTTTCGCATATTTTGGTCTTCAATTTTACGCCGAGTGCTGGAGTGGAGTCAAACCTAACGTTACGCATGCGTATGACGGTATCTCCAAAGAATGTGTGGGACAGGATTTCACCATTCGCTGCAAACAAAAAGATACATTTTGTGTGGGAAAAGGAAGAAGCAACTACGTTTACCGGCTTGTTACGCCAACCTTCGCTCCTGGTAATTCATGCACTTAAAATATATTCACGCAGCTGCTTAATTTTTGCAGTGAAACAGCGGGTAGAGGAGTGTCGCAGTGTCGCCCCGTTTCCCCATTCCAGTTTTTGCTGCTTTATCCCCGGAAAAACCTGTCAAAAAATATATTACAAGCCTTCAAATGCAGTTCTAGCCCACCTACTGTCACTCCATGTCGGGCGCTAGAGACAATGACATCCGAATTTATGTAAGGAACAATGAACGTGGTTGCTAACGTTCCCGTAATTGTTTTTTTTTCCTTTACAGAATGCAGAGACAGGAGTAACTATTGCGCTGAATACGCCAACAAAGGATATTGCAAAGCATATGAACATGTTCGAATTCAATGCCCATATTCTTGCAAAGAATGCTAGGAAAACTAAAATAGTAATTTTCCAATAAAATACTAGTTTCAGCTTAATGTTATTAACCAAGGGAAGAAGTCTTCGGCCGAGGTGGTGTTGAAATATTGATCTCGTCACAGGGCGCCCGCACAATCTGTTTGTGTAACCGATGTAACTTTATGGTAAACATACTGTATTTACTACCTTTTGCTGTACCTGTAGCGGTATATCGCTAAATATGTGCATGTATCAAAGCTAAAAAAACGTTGTGTTACCTTAGGTAAAACGACGACAATTCATCGTAGGTAAGGTAACACAACGTTTATTTAGCTTTGATACATACACATATTTAGCGATATACTGCTACAGATGAAGCAAACGGTAAATACAGTTCATAAAATTTAAAAAAAAAACCTTATTAGTCAAAATGTCGAAAAGAAAACATTTCTGTTGGACATAAGTCATAGGGGCTTAGTCTCGAAATGTCAAAAAGAGCACAAATATAGCGACAGGAGAGTATAATGAAGTTATATCTTCTTAGTCGTCTACTTTCCTCAACTGCATCACAAGCTTTTCACTTCGACTAATATCACGACTCAGACTGCTCAATAAAACAGACAGAAATTTAAGGGAACAATTGAGATCAAGACGGAAACATTGGATCAGTTTAACTCCTTTATTGTGACGATCTAATCGTAATGAAATTTTACATTCTCCTTTTTAAACTGAAGACCTTCGCGAAATTCCGTACCAAATTCTCACTTTGCGGCCGGTGTGGGACTTGTGTTGACAGTACCAAGAATAAGCATGTCGCCAGGAATGTAAACCTCGGTCATGTAAAAGACCTTCTTGCTGGGGAAGAGAACTTGAGTGATGGCAAAGGCGGATATGCTTTGAAAGTTGAATCGCAATCCTGACAAGTAGTTGTCCACTGTGCTGGTGATGGTATTCTTAGCAGTGCGGAATTCCGAGCCGCGCCACCATTCCGTGATTGAGGATACACTGCTGCTGGCTGATCCAGATACAGCCTCCTCAGTGTATGATATCGTCAAGTCTCTGTCAATGGAAGGCACAAAGTTTCTCACAAAATTGGTGGTGAAGGTCACTGTTTCGTGTTCAGTTGTATCATGACAGAATATACCACCACATTGATGGCTAGGATACGGAATACTCATGGCCAAGTTGCTGTTGACCCAGTGGACTTGAAGCTTTTGACCTTTATTAAAAGGTTTTGCCGTAAGGGAGTTTCCAGGAATGGTGAAAGTAAATGACAGTGATTTGTATCTTGAAAAATGTAGCCTCATAGGTAGGCTACGAGATGCACCTTGATCTCCCTTGACGTAAAGGGACTGCTGACTGGGTGATACCGATTGCCCTGGAAGAACGTCCGTGTGTACTCCGAAACCGAATTTGTTTTTGATTTCTTCCTTTATTATATCTTTGAAGATGATTCTGTTACTGATGAACAAAGCAACTTCAAACTTGTTAGGGATAATTTTCTTGTCAATCGAGAGCGGGTCGTTAAAGTCTCGTTTGGTTTGCTCCGTTGCAGTCGCGCTGGCAGAACGTGTCTTAAAGAAAATGAACAAAGTTCCATAGCCAGAAGTTGAAGTTGCAAATCCACCCGTTGCAAGATAAAACTTATCAGGCACAAGACTGCTTGGTGTAAGCTTATCTTCGTACGTGATTCGCGCCAACTCGAAATCTGTCGATTTTAACTTCGTGTTGAAGAACAGCTGAATTTGGTTTCTGATAGTTAGTTCTAAGTGTCCTTTAAGAGGTAACTCTAAGACTTCAAAAACTCCATTGCTTAAATCAAGAACCACTCTGGAATCTTTTGTCAACGATCCACGAACTTGGAGTAAATTCATGGTGCCCGAAATTTCACTTCCGTCACTTAAGGTTGCGGTTTCATTGTAATTATCTTCGGTTTTACGTCTTTTACTAAACTCCCAGTACTCCATTACTGCACTTTTGATTTTGATTTTCAGAGTTGCCCTGTCTTGGTTGTTTCTAACAAACTGGATAATGGGCGGACCGACTTTCATCATAACTCTCGTTTCCACCCTAAAACTTCTGCTATCTGAGGCCAGTGTCCTTGCAGTTGTTATACTTTTCACGAAACCAGCGTTGGTGTTAGCGTCGTACTGATTTTTCCAAAGCTCATTCACGCGCTCAGCGCTTACTGCCATTGTGGCATCCCATTCACGCACCAGTGAGCGACCACTTAGATCGGTGAGAAGTTTATCCTTGCTACCTAACACATCGTCGGAGAGACGTCGATGGAGAAGTTGATCATTGTTAGTCGATGGTGGAGGGTGAAAGATGACGTTCACGTAGAATTTAATTCTGAGAGTGGTAAGTTTTGTCGAGAAACGAATTCCTTTGTTGGTGGTCACTTTTGGAAAACGAAATACCCAGTCGTCAAACGGCGTCACTTGTATAAACTTATTGACAAAATTCGGAGATGGATTTACACTTACAACCGATTTTCCAGTTTTAATGTTGTAGACAAAGCGATATTCAGTGGGTGTGGTTGAAAAGATTCTTGGATTACGATCAAGGTCTCTATCTTGGAATGATTCTCCCAAGGCGGTGGCTTGGATATATGCAGTGTCATCCGCTGACTCTAAAATATTGTCTGCGCGTACTTCTATTTTCAAAACGCGAACGCGCACATAATCACGGAAGGGAAGAGAACTCAGTGGAACTGGGATAGTATACCCTTCCTTGGAGAGCAAATCGTTAACTGCTACATTAGGAACAGTGAAGTCGATTGGCTTTGACAGGTCCACAGGACGGGAGGGAAAGTTTTCCAGTGCTGAAATAGACGATTGCATCTGACGAACGGCTGCCACTTGAATGGCCATAGTGTCGTAACTTGTCACCAGGGTTGGTTTCTGAAGATAGTAGTATTGCAGGGCAGCATCCATGCTTACAAACGTTTGGATAAGCTGCGAACGAACTTGATTCTCTTTCATTTTGATGATGTTACCAATTTCAAAGAGATCGGTAGTTTTTGCATCGTGATTTGAGAGGTCGTTTTGTGTTAATCTTGTCTTGAGTGCTCGTAAACGATTGCTCTGTCGTTTGGCGAGATCTCTCTGCATTTCAATTTGTATCTGTTTGTATTTTCGTTCGGCTATGTTTGCAGCAATGTTTACGTACCTCCTACCCCTAGCCGATAAACGTTTGGCAGCACGTTGAAAATCAAGTGCCTCTCCGGCCACTTGACCTGGGAGAAAGCCGCCCGGCGTTGTAAACGACTGCACATCTGTGTCAAAATCAATCCATTCCAGTTCCGTCGGGAAACTATCTGTACCGACCGCTGTACTTGGGATGTTTTCCAAAGCTCGGTTGATCGTGCCGATATCATTCCTCAAATTTCTGCCAAGGTCGTAAAGTTTACTCACTTGTTCAATTATTGTAACAACGTTCTTTAACTTTTCCGCAATCCGAACAATTCCTGTCAGCTTCTTGTCGATATTTGCCAAGCCGACGCCTCCTGTGAACAACGATCCAATAACTTCGGCAACGTTCAAAACTGCTGATATTATTTGCTCTTTTTCGTACTGTTTAAGTGCTTTAATCAATGCATCTCCAGTAGTTTTCACGTCATTCTGTATTTTCAGGATCTCCTGAAGTAACTTGTCAGCTTCACCTTGTTTCCGGCTGATTTGATCTTTCTCCAAGTCATGGACAGCTTGCTGGGTCTTCGCAACGTCGTCTTGATGCTGCGCGTTGACTTCAGCCTGTTCAACCAGGAAAGAACCAATGCTCTTTACATTTCTGTTTAGCTCCTGTAGGGAATTTGTTGTAGTCTCTACTAGCCTGCGGCGTTGTATTTCAGTGGAGACTGTTCTGTATGTGGTTTCATAGTTGGAGACAGCTGTCAATAGTCGTTCGTAAAGGGGTTGGTATTGGGGGAAGTTCAATCTGGGAACGATGAGTCTTGACCTGGCGTATTCTGTCAATTGGGTCTTACCTAACAATAAAACACGACCAAGGACCATTTCAAGGTCGGGAGATAAAGGCGAAGATCCCTTGGCGCTTCTTGTCAGGGTTTCTGTAACCCAGTTCAAACTTTCGCTTGCTGTTTTAACTGATTGGCTACTGGCACGGACCGTTAAAATGCTTTCTACACTGGTCACAGTCAACTCCAGGCTGTTAACCAAGCTTTGGTGTAGCCACCTCGCTTCGTTTGTTGTTCCGGTATTGTCGTAAAGTTCCGCTGCAGTTTGTTTGTCAGGATAAAGAAGTTTCTTTGTATTTTCCTCCTTAACTGTAAATTGGCCGCTTAAGTTCCGATCTTTTACTGTTTTGTAGACGTATTCGTTTGCATATGTGTAGTGTTTGCCATTCTTGGATTGGGTCAGCTTCAAAATACCACGAAATCGCTTGGCAATTATTTTGATGAAGGGCTCAGAATTTGCGTGGGAGCCAACCATTATTTCTGGAACCTTGTTACCAGAGGACGACGCCACGAATTCTCGGCATACAAGAAATATCTTTCTGGACCCGGGCAGCCTCAACTGAGCAGTTTCGCTGATTTCCAAGACATCTGCATAAATAAATAAATGTGTGACGAACTTGGGGTCTGAAACTACGAAATCGTCCAACTTGAAGTTCACCTGGGTTATAGTAATGTAGTTAGTTGCGGTAGATGTTACAAGATCTGGATTGAAACTGCCATAGAAACCCTCAACATTAAGGCTCTGGGTAGTAGGGAAGTTCGGAAGGCTAGCTTTCCCAAATTTCTGAAAAACTGTAGCGGACAAAACATCATTCCATGTTGACTTCGATGGTGATTCGGTCGTCAAGAGTTTATTGACGATGGGTTTGAAGAAAACGCGTATAGGAATTGTTTTGGTAAGGGTGTCTGTCATTTTGTCTGCAGATGGGCTTACTGGGAACATAAAGATACTTGCAGCAACCCTGTAGATATCATCCTTCAACTTTGGTATGATGTTCTTCAAAGCAGCATCACCGCTGGCTGACAAAATCCTTCCGGCCTCACGACTGAATCCCTTGTCGCCCTTTCTTGGCTGGGTTAACTGGCGAAACGCGTAACTTTTGGAACCGAAACTGTATGCAGGATCTTGAAAGGGGAATTTAAGAATGTCTTTGCTGCCGATTTCTTTGTCATACACAAATACTTGGTAAATTAGGTCGCCAATCTCATAACCGGAAACGTAATGGGTACCATATTCTGAGAACAGTTCCGTTATCTTGTCGCTTGTAGCATCAGAAGAAACGGCGGATGATGTAAGATTTGAAAAATCTGCGTTGGTCATAGTTGTCTTGCTTATATTCTTCCAATATCGTGCCAGAACGTAGGATTTCCCCACCATGTTGTCAGGTGTTATCCCAAGGAGTTGAGCATAGGGCCTCATGCTACTTTGGGACGCGGTCGTTGAAGTCGGCTGATATGTAAATGCCGCCGCGTCTCTGGTCTCATCTTCGAAATGCCAAATCGAGAGGAACGTCTTGATCAAATCTCTTTCATCTGGATGGTACGTCACCTGGATAAAGCCACCGAAATATGTAATTCCGGTTTGGGTGGTTTCATGTTGGATGTTGTCAAACAGTTTAGATTTCGTTACTGGATAAAGTAGCCGACTGAGATCACTGTCACCTGGCAGGACTGGCTTCATACCATGAAGAATGCTGAATGGTTTACCAAGACCATTGGCTGAAATTTAAGTCAAAATAAAGCGAACATCAATAAAAGTAAAGATCTTCTCATGAGTAACGGAAGATTGTTAATAGCCTAAAAATAAATGTGAGTAAATGGAAGAGAATTTACAATGGTGGCAGAATTGTTAATACCACATAAGCTTGTGTAGGTCAGTGTAGTTATTCAAATTCGCTCAACTTAACTTACATGTAAAGGCAAAGAGTACTTATTTTACGTCGGTAGCTTAAAATACAACAAACCTGAGACCAACGGTGCGCTCATTTTACTATCCCCCAAAAGCACTTCTATCTTTTTCTAGGATTTGAGGTCACACCTGAAAATCGAACTCGGGATCTCTTACACAGAAGGCCCCGGGTATTGATTGGGATTTGACCCCGAGGACCGGTTGGAAACCAGTTGGACCGATTGAAAATCTCTACAAGCCTAATTCTTTTTTTTTATATATACATAGCAAAATCTTTTTCTTTACTTGTAGTCTACTTTCTTAAAACGAATAACAAGCAAGATTGGCTAAATTAAGAAATTGCAAAAATGCTAGAAACAATAAGAGCAGTAAAATCTAAATATTGCAAAAAAGGCATTTATGAAAATATTGGTAATGTACGAGAAACTTGGAAGGTAATTAACAGTATGTTAGGTCGAAATACTACGACAACATTGATAAGTGAGTTTTCTTTGTTTTTTGTTTTTTGTCAAATATATCCTGACAAAAAAAGTGAAAGCCGTTAAAATTAATCAACATTTCTGTTTACTGGGACAAATTGGCCGAGAACATTCCAGTTCTCTGATGGGGAATAAATAAGTTGTGGAGTTCCACAGAGATCAATTTTAGATCATTTTACTGTTCTTAGTTTACGTCAACAACCTTCGCAATTGCCTGCAGGATTTTACCCCGGGTATGTTGCAGATGATATGTATATTTCAATAACTGGTTGGAGTACCAGCGCAATTAAACCTAAACAAAAGAGCGAGGTAGAAGCAATGAACAGTAGGCAGCTTCGAAAAATGTTATTTGACACTTGGATCTAGAAAAAAACACCATTGCATCTAAAGACATGAAACTTAGCATGTATTTCATAAACCTGTATACGTAGAAGCTTGTAAAGAAGAAAACTACCACAAAATTACTGGGCGTACACATTAAACATGAGACCCGGATATCCCAAATCATAACGTAAGTCACTGCTTTTTAGTATGCTGTATAAAACTAGATCTCTCGGTACTAAAGAAAAAAGAACATAAATCGATCACAAGTGCAGCCGTACTATGACTATTGTAGCTCTGTGTGGGGAAATTGCTAAAAAACGCGCGCAGATCAATTGCAGAAGCACCAAAACAGAGAAGCAAGCATTATCACAAAAGCAGACTATTCACTAAGATCATACGATATTCTAGAAGTCCTATGTTGGGCAACGCTGCACGATAGTTGGTAAATGGAAATGAGTATCATGATGTGTAAAGTTTGTCATGCGGCTGTACCAGAGAGCTGAAATGAGTTTTTTCGGTTGACCTGTGAGGTGCAAAATCACAACCCCTTGGTTATTAAGTTCGACATGCATTTTCCAAAACCTAAAACGAACTCAAGCGGGGAAATAGCATGGAAAGCACTTCCGAATCATGTTAGAGACCTGAACACACAAAATAGTTTCAACGCGTTCTTGAAAGATCACCGTGGAAATCAGTTTTAAATAAATAACTTAATATTGCTACTAACTTTTAGTATTTGGGCAAATACAAAATAAGATCGACTTAAGGGAGTGATTGAGTAATTTTCTCTTTAGAAATTTCAACCAACTTTAATTCCAAAACTCTTTGGAAGTTTTTTTTTCGCCTCAAAAATCCTTTAAAACACTGCAGCTTTTAAACAAAATTTACGTGTGGAATGCAATTAACCATAATTACCACGATTACATAACTTGCTTGGAACTCGTGCTTTAGTCGGGACACCTTCGAGAGTCTCAAAATTTGACTTTCCCGACAATGGGCCACTTCCGAGTTCCAAAAACCCTCACTTTCAAAATGAGACTAGGTGCACGATCTTTCTTGTGAAAATGAGTTTTATTTGGATGAGAATGAAAAATGATTTCCATATCAAAGGCTGAGCAGCTACCCTCGTTTTGAAACAGAGGCCTGGGGGAACTCGGAAATGGCCTATTTTGTGAGCAAGAATACAGCTCATATATAAAACTTCACGAGCTGGTACCACAGAGGGGAAAACGTTGTAGACTGTAGTGTGTCATGTGTAGAGCGGAATTCTAAAAGAGCGTTTTTATTAAAAGATATAAGGCCTTAACTCCAGAGATAATAGATTTTTGTCATTTAAATGCTTATATCTTGCTGACAAACTTTAAATTGTAAAATATGCTCTATGCGTGACACACCAGAGGTTTTGAGTGATCATTTATTAATTAAATCACAGTCTCAACCACAATCTCAGTCTATTCTTTCCTACAACTTGAACACAAAATCACGATTTCCCGATTTGATACAACTGTGGTTTAAAGCATTGCCGTTAAGCGTGATCTACCAAACAAAAAACAACCCCCTGAACCTCCATCATTTCACAATGTCTGTAAAATTTTATCGAAATTGCGTCTAAAACAGCCGAGATATAAGCTTTTCAAAAGATGTAGCATAAGCAAAATTTTGCCTTAATTATGAATTTATTCATAGATAGTCGGTCTTAAATCATTGTAATATAGTTAGTATTTGTTCATAGATTTTTTGAAACGGCTAATTTGAAAACCAATCTGATTGTAAGTTAAAAGTTATTACCATGCATAACTCAAGTTAATTCGTTCATATTTTTTCCTCTTCTAAGTATAGTAATTCACATGATCAGAACGACTTCAAATTATCGACCTCATATCTGTTACAGCGAATATTGAGCAGTTAACCATACTCTTTATGCCAACTGATGCTTCTTATTCCGGGGCTCTGTTTTCTTTTCGTAGAAATGCGCTATTTCTTGATAAATAAATACAACTATTTCCTTCCTTATTTGAGTCTATCATGCAATTAATCTTATTCCTATGATCATCTTGTGAAGTCAGTTCTTCACGTAGAGTTAATTGGATATTCTTTATATATTTTGAGGAGTCGTTTTCATTTAAATACAGTTTATTGAGATTGGAACTATTGCATAGGGTATTCACTTTTTTCATAGACTCATCTGATTTTTCTCAACCATATCGTTTGATATTTGTAAACATTGCTTGGCATAATTATCATCGTGTTTGTTTTCTAAATGTATCCAAAATTTGAAAATATTTACGTTAGTTATTTCTTTAAGTGGTAGTCGTCCAAGTTCACTTCTGCATGCAACATTTGGACACTGTTTATACTTCACACCTAGAACTTGTTTGCAGAATTCAATTTGTGTTTTCTCTATTCATATCATTCTCCCATGAATAACAATCACCTTTATCGAAGATGCTTCAAACCTCAGAGCCATACATCAGAATTGGGAGCCGGATTGAGTGAATTAAATAATTTGGTAGAAATATCTATTGGAAGTCTAAGAAAGACAAGGTGCTGACGAATTGCAAATATGGATCTCTTGTCTTTGTCTTTTAGGATTACTTTGTGTTCTTTAAAACTACCATTTTTGACCAATTTTGCAGAAAATTTTTCCCCAAGGTAGGTGGAACTATTGGTGATTTCGATTTTTTCATGGCTAATGTAAAATTGGTGCTTTAGAGTGGTCGACTTTCTACGTTTCTTTTGGAAGATTATAATTTTTGTCTTCTTGATGTTTATATTCATCATCCAATTGTTACAGAATCTGAAGAGTGTGCACAATGCTTTTTCTAATCCATTTGCCGATTGTGATATAAGTACCAGGTCATCTGCGTATAGAATGCAGTTTACAGTCGAACCATTTGGTAGTAATATGGGATCTGTGTCTTGTTTGTTAAGAAAAAATGGACTGAGTCTCATTCAGATAGAGATTGAATAGCATCGGTGAAAGGATGCAGCGTTGTCTTACAACCATTTCCGTAATCAAAGAAAGCGCTCGTTTGATGATCAAATTTGATGGAACATTTACTTTTCGTGAAAAGGGATTTTATTGAGTCACAAAATTTGCCTCCAATATTGTGCTTTTAATTTATCGTGTATAGGCCATCGTGCCATATTAAGTCAAAAGCTTCTCTAAAGTCTACAAAACAAGGGTATAATTTACCATTTTAATTTTAGGTAAAACAAGTATTAAATCTAAAAAAGAGCGAGAAAAATTACCTCGCGGGGGTCTCGGGTCTTAAAATTTCATTTCGTGCTAAATAGCTGGAATTAGAAAATTTAACTTGGCACTATATCAAGAAATGACCAGCTGGGAATGTAAATATTCCTTCAAAGTTTGGTGCTTGTATTAAAAACCGCATAATTCTCTATCTAAGCCGCCGGACTACTTGGGCACAGTGTGTAATACATTAGTTCTAACAGTTAATTTTCAAAAAAATTGTGCGTTTTGCTTGTTCCAGTTTGCCTTTAAAGTTAATTTTAAATATAAATTTTACTTGTTCGTGATTAGAAATTTTTTGATAATTTCAGATTGTTTAAAGTTGAGAACGCTTGAATCACGAAATTTACTGCTCACTGAGTGGAAAATGACATCCCTGCAAAACGCTGTCTGACCAAAATCCCAAAATTAAGTAATAGTAATACACGAAGTAAGTAATAGTAATACATCAAAAGCAAATTGGTTATATGAACACAAAGCTTGAAGGAGTATGTTTTATTATATTACCTAATCTTCTCTTGCTTGACTAAAATTTATCTTCTGACTATTAAAACATCATCTGATAACCTTGTGACAATTATTAGCTTCATTTGATAATAACATTATATTTATTTCATTTATGGTCAAAATTTATTACATTCATGGTGAGCCAGATTATTACTTCTATGGTTAAAATTTTATTACATTTAAGGTTTATTCTTATTACATTTATGGTGGCTTTTACATTTATGGTTGACTTTTATTGCATTTATGGTTAGTAT